ACTGGCCAGGGCAGTGTCTGATCCCCATCAGAGCCAGGCTGAGCTGCCTTTGCACAGACCCATCAGCCCCGGCAGCTCTCAGCACACACACTCCTGCAGCTGAACTCCAAGGATTCTGCCTGAGGCCAGGCAGCTCCTCTGTCTGCAGGACATGGAGCCCAGGGGGCTTTTTCAGACCTCCAGCCTCCCTGGGATAGAGAGGGGTTGTCCCCAAAGTTGGAGCCAGCCAGGGACAAAGGCTGCCTGAGCTCCAGCCCATCTGATCCTGCACAGCTCTGCTAAAGGTCTGTGGAGTGATGGCAAAGAAGAGGCTTCCCTTTCTCTGTGCTCCTTATCTTAAATTGCCTTCTCATCAGCACCTTCTCTTTCCCTTTCCCCATCTCCTTCTCTTTCTCCTCCTGCTTTTCCTTCTGCTTCTCCTAGTCCTAATCCTTCTCATTTCTCTCCTTCTTCTGCTTCCATTACATCTTTGCTATAATTTTCTCCTTCCCATGACCCTTCACTGTCCCCTTCTCTCTTTCATTTTGCCTTCCTCTTCCCTTTCCATTCCCCTTTAGTTTTTCTGCTCCCCCCCAGCACACACAGCACAATTGCTGCCCCTCAGCTCTGCCTCAGACACAAAATGATAAGTCTAAGGAAGAGGAAGGGAAAGAAAAGCTGAGAGGGGACAGATGTCCATAGTCACTGCCCACGGTGATGACACTTGGGAGTTGCAGCTTCCACGTCTGTCAGTTGAAGTGGTGGCCTTGATCTGCTGGGGGGAAGGAGGGAAGCCCCCACACTCCAAGAAGTTCTGAGTTATTGCATCCATGGTTGGTGTCACGGGCCATGCCTCCAGCCTCCAACCTCTCCCTGGGCCTGAGCAGAGTTTCTGTGTCTGGGGATGGGCTTTGATGGGCCATCAGAGGTATAATGCAAAAGTCAAAAGCCTGAAACTCGGCTCCTCCTGCCTTTTCAGGGCTTGACACCTTCAGCACTGGAGGGAGGGCTGGGCCCAACTGCCCATCAGAGGTTTAATGCAAAAGTCCTGCAGAAGCCTGCCAAAGTCCCTTGGCAATCCTAGAATGCATAAATCATGAACCATTTCAGTCTCTGACAGAGTGTCTGCAGTGCCCCACAGGTGTCCTGTCCTTGG